TTTATACCACACTTACATATCCAAAAACTCCGAAATCGATATTGGTTAATAAAAAGTGTTGTGCCTTCCCTGGAAGGGCAAACTCTCACATTACCAGAAGCACCACACTGCTTGGTGCCAGGGCCTCAGAGGATAGCAAAGCCCTGCCTCCACCCTCGCTTAGGCACGCTCCCGGGAAGGGCTGGGGATAAGTTACGGCTGCGGTCTGGGCTACGGCCACACAAACACTCACTATTGACTGAACACACAATTACTGGGTGTTGCCCGAATGCCATTCCTCTGCTCCAGCAACCAGCGCTTGAAGATCAGATAAACATGTAAAAAAATAGTCTAAAAAGCAAGAATAAAAATATTCACGTCCATGTGAAGCGTGGCATCAAAAGTTATCAACGCGATCCCTTCTCTTCTAATGCAGAGCTAAGGGGTTGTGGGACAGGTTTAAAATAGGTGCTTGTGTACTGGCAAGAATAAAGCAGAAATTTAAAAAGTGTGTGTGTGTGGGAAATGTGCCCTGTAGAAATATTATGGATTTTCTCACTTCATTTCAATGGCTTAGCAATAATTTTCTTAGTACAATTCTATTTGGTTGAGTTACGAAACCGCAACTTTGCCAGGAATTGCAGAAATGAGAATTCTTTACCCACATTTTTTTCATTAGAGCAAGAGGAACCACAGAGAATGAAAAACGTAGAGAACATATTTTAGCAACAGGAGACATACAAACCTATATTTTGTGGTTTGAGATGAAATACTACAATCCACTGTTTTCATTTACAGTCCATTGCCCTAACTATAGGTCCACGTTATTAGAGACGTTCAGGAGAATTAGCAAGTCTTTCCCCTCGGCTGTATGCAAGCACACCAGTTCAGAGAGCAATGCAGAACGCCTGCTCACATTGCTAGAGGACTACAAGATGATGAAGGGGAGACTACAAGGTTAATTAAATGTATTTTTCAACACAAAACTCTGTCTCAAAACCAACACAAATAAAAACCATGGAGGGGCTGACAACACTGAAACCGTTTCCAGTAAAGCTTTATCAGAGATAATTCAGCATATTTCCGTTATTTTATACTAAAATATATCAGTTCCTCCATAACATTTTTGTAACATGAAAAATCAATTATGTTTACATATTTATTATAATCTACATATTTTCCATAGCAGCTTTTTCACACAATAAGATTAAATATATGCACCAAATAATCAATTAAGTCCAGTAAAAAGACTGGTTAAGATTAAATAAGTGAATTTATTTACGGTACTGAAGATCTCATATTACCAACTATATAGCAACCAAATCCTACAAATCCTAAACAGAAGCACGACTGCTGATCAGGGTCCCTTAGGGTGGCGGTGGAATCAAAGAAAAAGCATCGGGGAGAAGAGGTTTGATCTCCCAACACACAGATTCATTAATAAACCTCCTTTATCCATCAAGGTTTTTCATAAACCCCTTTAATGAACACTTCATTTCAAACCAGGAACATTCCCAAATCAACCAAATAATCACCCTTTAGTTAAAATACAAGCCCCACAGTTTTACACATAGTAATTCCAAATGCTTTCTAATCCCAATGACAAGATGACTGATTAGAAGCCTTTGTTGACTTTTTAGCACAAAATCATTAGTCTGCAAATAAGCCTTCAAATCCATACAAACATTTTAGGCGCAACAGTGTGGTTTTGCACACTACACAGGCACAAGTCTCTATTCCCTCCAACAGGTACTTCACAGACACTATAAAAAGCAGTAAAAAATTGCGTCCGTCCCGCTAGACTTTGTTCCAGAAGAGAACCTGGAGACTATCTGACATTTGTGGGTAATGGCACGCATGAAATCTGTTAGGAGCACTGTAAATTGATTGTGAAAAGAGTTAATCAAGTTCTTAGAAAGATATTTCAGTGCCTCAGTTTGAATTTATTGGGTTATGATATGACAGATAGAAAAGAGCTGTTAAAAGAGCAGAAAAATCTGTAATTTGCGAATCTGCAATATCAAAGCCATTCCTGACATCAGCTTTGTTTAGAGACCCAAACACAACAGGATTCATGTTGCATGTCTGGACAAAAAAAATGTTTCCCCCCAAATAATGGTAAATAATACTTGTTTCACTATTCATACATTCAACCCTTTACTATGAGGAGTTATGTCCAAAAATTTTGCACGCAGATACATTTGCCTCAGGTATAACCATTGTAATTTTAATTTCCAATTGACAGTTTAGATTATATCCTACTTACAGTGTAAAAATATTAATGCTATTAGAATAACTTTATCTAAATTACAATATAGACTTTTCAAACTGCTTATCATGTCTTTATAAAGACCTTTATGATGCCAGCCAAAATCAAAGTATTTACACCCAAAAGACTACTTTTAGGTAAACACGTTTGGTCACTTTTCAGATGACTGAACACTATAGTAAACTGCTGCTAGGACGCTGTGCTCCCTTTTTACAAAGGGGGACTTGTTAGTCCCTTTAAAGCCACAAGAAACCTTACAAATCTTCCTCAGAGGGTATTTTATTCATATTCTGTGCAAAAAGTGAACTGAAGAACCCTTTTTTTTTGTTCGTTTTTACTTTGAGGAATTTGTGTGAAGCACAGTTTTCACAGCACAAATTATGCAGAAGTAACTAGTATCTCAACTATGAGTTAAAAAGAATTACAGAACATGTATTTAGTAGTAAAGCAACCTGACGGCTTAAAGCTGCAATATTCTTCTCACAGGGCAAAAGTGTTCAGTACTGTGCTTGCCCTACAGGGGAAACATGCTTCCTGCAGAGCTTCCACCCAAGGCAAGCGTAACAATCTTTTTCCACTTACCAGCCAACAACTGACCTCCCCAGTGCTGCTGAGCACAGAAACTGTTCTACCAGACCAGTTCTGGTACGCGTCCCGTATTTCCTGACCTTGCAGTGAGAAAGGGAATTAAAGACAAACAAATCCCACAAAATTTAACGAAAGGAAGATGTATGGCAGGGAAGGAGAAACACTGCAGCTTCAACCCAAAACCAGTGTCGCAGTCTACCATCATAAGCTCTAGACATCATGCTGATACGCCCAGCCATAACGAGCAGGCTGTTTGAAGTCTGTCGCTTCCCCCACTCACTTTTCCTTGACTGGGGGGGAGGGATGGTAGTGATGAGTTTAGCAGAGTCCATGGGGGAACATCCATCAATGAAAAGCATATAGCAGCAGTAAGATGGTACAGATGCCAATAATGCCACCCAAGATGAGAGAATCTCGTCGTTTCCGAAGGTTGATCCTTTGAATCAGGCTGTTCACTGCTGGAAACCGATCTTTAAGAGTCTGAGTCAAGGTCATATCAGCAAACTAACAAGCCCCAAATGTTGTATGTGGAAATTCCAATACTGCAAGAAATGCAGAACTACTCCCAAGCTGGAGAAGGCAGATGCAGTAAAAAAACCTGATGGATAGTCAGCAGAATTACAACTGTACTTCATTAATAACAGACAATCAGAGAAAAGAGAGAACAGAACACCTTACACATTTACACAGAATTCATCACCTGATCACCTAAATTACCAGCGTTTGATATACTTTAATCTCCAATATGTGAGGCTTAGTTACTTTTAATGAGAATGAAAAAAAAAAAAAATGGGGCAGTTGTATAAAACATCTGTGGAATTTATTTAATGGAATTCTGTTACTGGTGAAGGATTCAAACCAAGCATTTGACTGAGAAAATCATGCATGTTGCATGACTATGTGCAGTTCAAGTATAGCACATAAGGAAGAAGTCCTCCTACTGTAAAATCATAAAGATGTAAATCTATCTTTTAATGTACAAAATACAATTGCCAACAAGATAATAAGTTTCAGAGCTTCGTGTCTTTGGAACCAAGAATCTTTTAAGGCCAAAGCTTATTGAATTTTTTTTTGTGCTTGCCAGTTGCTAAGAACTGTAATGAAATTTATGGGTTACCAAGATACATCTCTTCAGGATGTAACCTGTCTAATCAAATGATGCTAATGTTGTTCGTTGGGCCCTTATGAGAGAAAGGAAGGAATAAGTGGGAAAACGACAAACATGCATGACTTGACAGTTTGGCACATTCTTTAGCCATGAGCACAGAGTATGAGGAGAAACCAATAAACCAAAATCTTAACATCTACAAGACTGTGACAGACAAGAGGATACTCGGGTCATGAATACTCTTAGCTGTAAACCATAACAAGCAGCAATGTATGCCCAGCTTCAGCTCTGGACAGTCTTGAAAGCAAAAAGCAAGAAGTAAAATGAAATTATACTTTTATGAAAACATATAGCAGGGAACGCCAAAAAATGCTGTTCCAGATCTCTACCGGAAAATTAAGCTACATTGATTTATATGCAGTATTCAAATTTGAGTAAAAACAATTTATTCATCACATGCACCATTAAGATGCTTCAGCCAGATTATCAAGTGAGACTAGTTAAAAAATGGTCTGTTTGTCACTAATGACAATACCGCTACAGGTTATACAGCCATTGATATTGCAAAGCATTTTGATCCCCAAATTACAGAGTGAAAAATTGTACTATACCTCTTCTTATGCACTGGCAACACAAATTTTTAGGAAAGGATACTAGCCAAGGTATTCATCTTGCTTTGTATTGACTTCAACATCCCTCTCTGCGAAGTCATATTTTCTTTAGTTGCCATGGCAATGCTGGAGAAAGAAAAAAAAAGAATGGATCAAGTTGTTGGTGCTAAGAATAATCTACAGCTAAAACAAGTGGAAAGCAAGCAGGCAACACTTCTTTAGAGAACAATGAATGAGGTGAAGCAATATGAATGAAACCACATTTTTTCCATTAATCTCTATCCTTCACACTTAAATGATTTCTGGTTTTATGTAAGCCATTAACAATTGACAACACTGTGACTTCTTGAAACAGGCAGCGTTTTGGCATATCTCCCCCAGCCCCAACAAAAAATGGTACTACATTACAAGCAAACCTAAAGGTACTCTTCCGGCATAAGTTTTAAATTTAGAAGTTTTGATTTGTTTAATCACAGAAGCCCCATACTTACTTTCACTCTAGAAAGCACATGAAATTTCTTGTCTGCCATCAGGGTATGATGGCTACAGAAGTATTAAGCAAATAAGAGCTGACTCACAATTAAAAATCAATTTGCAAAGTAAACGTGCTAGTTGAGAAGAGATGGAAGTGCTGTTTGAGAGCCGACACAGCTCGCAGAGCTTTACACAGAAGGTTTCTGGACAATCAACCAGGTCTTTGACGACATTTCAACACAACAAAGTGGTGAGATCTACTTTGACTCAGTATTAACACTGTCCTCTGACTCCAGGTAAGCGGGCAAAGCTTGGATTCTCCTGCGTTAACGTCTCTTCCCAGCAAGCCCCACCTGACTGTTTTCCATAATCTGGAGTTGAGGGAGCTGCTGTATAATGAAATCGTATCAAATGATGCTTTCATCACAGCACAGATAAAATGCATTTTTGAGCTTCGGTCCTAATTAAGAATAGAATTCATGGATATATAATTTTTCATCCTCTGTTTCTTTACTAATACATGGTCCAGCTGTATGTACTTCATCCAAATATAAGGACACAATACAGGTGAATATAAAACAGAATTTCCCATTTCATATTGAATACATTCTGGAAGTTGGAAAAAAGCAATTGTGCTCTTAAAAATAAGACATTTAAATGAAGATTTTAAAGAAACACTCAGCTGACAAAAATTTTTCTCTACCTTAAGTTTCTCTTCAGCTTGTAAAACAAAGAGTTACAGGATGGAAAATGAAAGGGTAGGCTACTACTTGTAGCCCCAGGTAGTATTTCATATAGCTACTTCAAATGCAATAGCTTTGTCAAGACAAACTGCACAGACTTGTTTACATCTAGAAAAACAGTATATAAAAGTTTAGGCTCTGGAGATACGGTGCTTAAGAAGGGATAGTATGACAAATACTGCTCTCCTTGGCTGGCATGCATTTCAAAAATAAACCAAGTAGGACATAAATACAACGTGGCTGGATAATAACTCAGAAAATGACACCAATATTGCTGTTGACTGTATCTACATGAATAACAACGATGAAAACAAATTCTTGGGCAAGTTTGTGAGCCTTAAATATGGAGGGAAAGTGTTCTGGAAGAATAAGTTAAGTGGAACAACACAATACAACAAATATAAATATGAGAAAAGGGAACTAAAGCTGTAGTTTCAGAGGAGAACAAACAGATAGGAAAATGCAAATGCTTCTTTTACCCAATACAGACATCCAAATTTTCAAGAGCATTTTATGCTTGCTCACACTCAGTATCTGTATACAAACATGATATAAAATCACAGCTAACATGAACATTATTTCTAAGGAGGGGCAGGTACAAAGCACCGAAACACACAGTGCAAGCCTAACATTATTCTCAAGTTCTGAGAATATAAACTGGACATTGCATTTTACATAAAGCCTTAGTATTTATTCCTGAACTCTCTGAATGCACTTGCTCAATACATCTGGTTCTCAAGCACTGTTCTGTACTGAATTCATCTGGGTTTCAGGGCTTTGGGCTTATCTTTCTGTAACAGCTAAAATGTTGAAACATCATTTGTCCAGATATTAGTACTAAAGTACTTAGGTATTTCAGTACTGGAAGGTGATAAAAAAAGGACCTTTATCCACTTTAGTGTATCTTTCCAGGTAAATCTGGTAGGAAAAGTCACACACACAGATTATATTTATACACTTATTAAACATAGAACTGGCCTTCCCAACATTTTTATGTTAGGTCTTTGTTACACCATTTGATATATTTTATTTCAAGTTTCTCTCTGAACAAAACAGCATTTGGAATGAGCAGCTCTGGATCATCTGGCCTCCCTACTCGGACACTACAGCCGGTATCACAAGAATAGCTGGCAAAAGACAGCAGAGCCAAGCCTAACAGTTGTCCTTCAAGACTTACAGTGAAAGGTCAGCATCACAGTTCACAAACATCTCAAAGAAGAAAATAGCCCGGATCAATGATCCCTAAAGTACTTCTGGAGCAGTCGGTTCCTTTAGGCTCCCTTCCATTGTATCTGCCTACTCCACCTCAGGTAGCCCTTGATACAGTATCTTCAACCTTCCTATAACGTGCCAAGCAAACGTCAGGAAAAAAAGAAGAAAGGAAAAAAAAAGAAAAGGAAAAAAATCGGATGGAGGCTGCCTTTTCCAACTCTGGTTTTGCCCATAGAAACTAAGACCTCACCAAGCCAAAGCCCGAGTGTTATACGTGGTATGATTTTGGTTTTAGCAGTAGCAGAATGCCTTGGAAAGCAAGACAAGTTTATCACCAGACGTATGTCAGACATAGGTGACAGAAGGGCCAGCCCATGGCTCTCGTAGCTTTCAGGTCACAGAAAAGACTCTTCCAAAAGCTCTGTACAGCGAATTCTTTTAAATAGAACAGCATGCACTGACAGGGCAGATCAATATATTATTTTAAGGTTATATGAACATTCTGTAAACTTGGAGATATATTAGGAAATTGGGAGTTTATCAGTCATAAAGAGAATATAAACAGTTTGATAACATGTAGGCAAAACCCTGACATTTTCAATCAGCAGCTCTATATGAACAGATTCAACATTTTAATACTAAGTTTTGAAGTATTAGATTAAAAAAAAAAAGTTTCAGGGCAGAACTAAGAAAAACCTTCAAGCATTTTTTCTTTGCAGCTGACTATTTAGCATTTTTTTCTTTTACACTTTTGATGTGCCAAATCAGCACAAAGTGAAAATGAAACTCATGGTTAACTGGAAGCAACAGGGCTTGCAGTCGCCTCCTTGGTGTTTGTAAAGGGGTTGCCAGAATCCATTAACCAATGCTCTTTGTTCCTGCAAAAACAACAAAAGAAAGTCTACAAAGCTGCTCCTCTTAGACTGTGTAGTACTGCCACTCAGCACACTGTGTGTGTGTGCTTGTTCCTGTGGGTATACTAACTCATCTAACCCACAAACGCAACTGATTTATTGGATTACACGGGAGAGTCTTTGCAGGACTAAAATTAGAAGAAAAGAGAGTGAAAATTAGATTGGAGGAGAAGAGGAAGAAGAATCGCATCATTGCCTACCCCAACGGCGCATGAGTATACAAAGAAAAGCATCTAAGAGAAGGTGTTAACAGAAATTCTGAACAGAGAATAAACAGCTGTGTATCAACGTAGAAAAAGCAGTTACCATCAAGGGCTGAGAAAGGGACTACAAAATCAGAACAGTAAATACATCAAATCGTATCATATGTGACAAGATACAGCATTTGACAGATTATATAGATTTACAACTCAGCATACAGGTATTTTCATTTTCCAAAGTAAAAAGCCACAAGCTCACAAAAACATTACATTTGTCGTTGAGAAGAGCACTCAGGAAATTTTTAATTACTAGGAACCAAGTTGGAAAAAAAGAGATTTCCTAGCTGTACACAGGAAAGCTTCCTCAGTAACCTGCAGCTTCTTATCTCACACCCCCCACTGACTTTATACTTGTCCAGATGAAGTTTTAATACAGCACTTCTCAAAGCACTCCTGAATTAAGTCACGTATTTTCATAAGATGCACCCAATGACTCATTAAGGCATCCATTAATTTACAGAAGTGAAAATACAAGATGATTGCCAGGATATAAAGTGTTCCTGAGACACTTCCAAAATGCCTTTGGCAATAATTATTACAGATTATCATGGAACACAAGGTTCCTGCTTTAACATCTGAGGAGTGAAACTGTCCATTTCATATAAAAAAGCAGGATGTAACTGTTTAAGTTTACGTATTACAAGATTGGAACCTTCTTCATTTCTTTTACCCAATATTTTGAAAAATTTAGCTCAATGGGCTAGGTTTTACTGAAGAGCTCTGAAGAAAAAAAATAATTGTAGTGATTACCATTTTTAATACGATACGGTCTAGTAATGAAAGGTAATTGTGATATCCACGAACAAGAATTTAACTGGATTCTAGCTACCATTAACAAGTCAAAAGGCAAGTAAAAAGCACTGTTCTTCATGTATAATTTGTTCACTCAACGTGAGCTGGTTTACCTAAGCCTTTATATCTGTAAATGAGACTATTAAATCTAAGCACTACCAGAAAACACACAGCTCCTGGGGACCAGTCCACTGATTGGTCTTGTACAGCCTTAAGTATTGCAGCTTCCTCATATCCTTCATTAGACAGTTTTGGTTTCATTCCCATCCCTAACATATGTTCATTGACAAACTGTTGCCATTTCTCCACTAACAAATGCATTTTTTAAAAAATTAATCATATTCTGCCCATTCACAATATTGGCCCCATTTAGTTACTCGACACCGTCACCTCCCCAGATCAAGAATACCTTTTTCTTACGTTTTGAAACTCCTACACAACATTTATGATAAAAGATGAAATGCTTCTTACTGGAATCAAGATGACCCTGCTTCAACGTTTCATTTGGAAACTCGCATGAACTATTCTCGGTGCTGCACTGGCCTGAACTACTACAGTTGGGTGTAAACCAAGTTTCTAAAACCAGATGGTATTCTGCTCTCTATATTTAATATTAAAGCACTGCTGAAGTACAACATTAACGATTGCTGCACTACTGGAGAAATCTCTTCTAGGTAAGCCCGAGGTCACAGCCGCAGAGAGCCCACCCATCTCTTCCGCAAGTCAGCAGGAGTATCTCAAATTCCTGTGCTTGCAGGCGTATTTCCTCAAAACTTCACCTACATTTCAAGTTCGTCCTTGAATGTTCAGTAGTGCTGTGGGTATGCAAGCAACCAAATCTCTCTTCAAAAGTAAACCAACTGATATTTGTACAGAGTTTGCAGTTTTCGCTGGCATGAAAAAGCACCGAGTAATAAACATTTCCAGCCATTATCGCAGCCAAACTAGTCTAACCCGCAGAGATACACTTTTAATGCTGCTTGACTTGGCAGCCAAGTGGTTTTACCTAGGCAAATGCTTAAGCTGTCAGGTATTTTCATCGCCCATAGCAGCCATACACATACAGCATATTACCAAGTGGAACATACCAAAAAGTCAACTCCTCGCTTCATCCACTGAGACAGCTCAGTCAAATCTACATTGATGAAGAACTAAACAAAGCTCTAAAGGAACAAGACGTTTTTAAAAATCAAATAATTCATGTATTACTGGAACTTCTGCTTCATTTTGTACTCCATGAATCATACTTGCTCATTTAAATTCATGACAACGTCTATGATTAAGGGAATGGCCTCTGCGACTCTGCATAGAAATGCAAGCTCTAGTTTTAAATCGGTAAAAATTCTGATTATATCATTTATTCTTTGCGTATACATACATATATATTCATATCTATAAATATACACATGTGTGTGTATATATATGCATACGCACACACACACACACACAATTTTTCAAATTACTTTATTTTATTTTTTGATGAAGCCTAAGATGAAACCAAAAGGAACACTTCCCCAGAAAGGCAAGTGATTTTGCCTAGACACTCTGGCAAGGCTCTTTTGAAAAGAGCTAAGACTAAAAATCTAATTCATGCCTTTCCATTCTGTAAAGTCAAGATTCAATGCAAGTGAATTTTTCCCTTTTATTAAATCCTAATTGTTACCTAAAGAAATACCGCAAATATATAAGGAGATGTTTTGTGTTTTTTTTTTTTTTTTAATTAAATCTATGGTTTTGGTCTGGCTTCAGAGTGGAAGTGGAGGAGTCCAACCTGTTAATATACAAACACTGACAAAGCAGCCTGAATCAGGCCTCAGAAACAGTCTTACAATAAAATCCTAAGAGCTTGTCACACTGTACATGCAAAACTATAAAAAAAAAATTCAAACTGAGCCAAACTAAAAATATAAGTTGTTGGAAAACAAGAAATAAATCATTTGCTATTTTGGAGAAGTGATAATGTTTGAAAATGAAAACCTGAGAACATCAAACATATTAAGCAAAATCTCTGCTTATATTTAAATCTGGCCAAGAGAAGTGAACACTGTTCCAACAGAACTGCAGTACAAAGTATCACATCCCACTCGTTTCTGGAAAGAAATATGCTGCAGTAAGAACCCATGTCATGTAATTAATTTAAAAATTGATTAAAAGTTTAGCACTAACAAAACACCTGGAATGACAGCCCTACTCATCGCTTTAGTTACTGAATCCTTTCAGCTTAGGTGCCCATACATTCTCTTGCACGGATGTTTGCTCCCGTGGAGGAACCATCGGCAGGAAGAGTCGGGCTCCGCGCTTCCTCGCTTCTCTTCTCTACAGAAAGTGAGAGCGAGGGTTCCACAATGAGTGCCGACTGTCGAGTCCCTGGCAGTGGGGTCACCGGTATGCAGCTTGTCAACAAAAGCCTCTGCACGCACAGAAAAATGCTTTCCAGTGTTTAGAATCACTGCTCAATAACACCCCCTAAAAAAAATAAAATGTGATTTCTTCACTTCCTGAATTACACCCAAATAATGAGTAATGAACTACAGCAGATGTAAACCTCGAAGACACAGCAGCATTAGTAGCCAGAATAAGCTAATTACATCGCACTTCACTCAAGGAATCTGCATTCAAACAGCTTCCCCTCACAACTCCCACTTTTACTTGGTTTGCAATAGATAAAGCAATTGATAATCAGAAGTCGGGTAAATTTCTATCTGGTAAATTCACTTGAAATGCAGCAGAGTTTACTACCAATTAATATCAAACCTGAACACTTGCAATTACTGGGAATAATAAGAAAAAGAGTAAAACCAAAAAATTCACCCTGGTTTCAATAGTGTCGGAGCTGAATTAAGATGATACAAATAAAATTACATTTCCTGCTCAATGTTGTTACCAAAACAAACTCTTTTTCTACAAAGAGAAATGTAGAACATTTTTGGCAACAACTACAGCAAGAAGTTCATTTACTACAGGTAATAAATGGTGCAACAAGGAGTGCTGAAATCAAGCTTCTGAAACAAGTTCATTTATTAAGAGGAGGAATGCTTTCAGTACACAGCACCACGGAGCTCTGAACCAAGCCACGCGGGAGGGATTATTGCGTGAGAAGCCGTCACTGTGGAGATAGCAGATTTGTAGTCAACCACAGGACTGCAGCTCATGCAAATGAAACTCAAAGCAGTTTTAAATCAGCCAGGACACCTCCTGATGACACCATGGAGCTTCAGAGTAGGCTCAAAACCGCTGGAGGAACTCAGGTGAATATTCAAGTAGCTGCCCTGTTCTGAGCTCCAGTTTGCCACGGCTAACTGGTGAGTCGACACAGAGGTTCACTTATCACACATAGACATACTCTCAGCTTCTCTGATGACACATAATCAAGAGGCTAGGCGAAGAGCTCAAATGATAAAATGCGAGTCATTTTGCAGGATATTAAGCTTAATAAATCACCATATGCTGTTTAATGCTCTAGTTACTGGAGTGGCAGCAAATAAGAGATTCAACAAATGTTGAGCATTTTTACGAGATGGAAAAGTAGGGCTACAAGCGTGGCAATAAAGGAGAGGATTTTTTAATCAGGAAAGGACTAGAACCCAAAGTAAAACAAATATTCACAATAACTGTGCTAAGTTTGGCAAATATCTTTATGAGGCTGTGGTGAGATTATATCTACATTTTCAGACATTATTATGCTGACCACTTCTGGTTCATCACTGCACATTAATGTGGTTTAACACATTCTTCCACCACGTTAATTATACTGAGCCCATTGTATGTACTTAAGGTAGCCAGCCCTTAATGGACATAGAGCCTTGCTGCACCTCTAATTACTCTTCTTGATCACTTATGCCAGTACATGCATTATCTGAAAGCATATCTTCCTTGCTTTCTTCTTTTTTTTTTTTTTTTAAAGCAATAATCTAAAATTTAAAACCATTTAGTCACTCTGAATTATTGGTTTGCAAAATCCCAGAGTTCAATGGAAAATTGGGAAGGGCTCAGATGATAAAAGTAATTTATGATGCTACGGTTCTAAAATTTCTAGATCAGTTAGAGAAGGTACCACTCAAGTATTCGAACCACATAAAAAACCAAAGGATAAAAAACTATACAACAGCAATAACCTTTCAAGCCCTTGTGGTAAAAGCCCTTACCTAGATCAGCTGCATACTAGGGTGCTGAATACATTGAAGGATCACAGAAAATCACATTGTAGAAGAATGTCACTATGAGAAGCAGCAGCTTGACTGCTGGAATAGCCCTCAGCAGCTCAACCTGAGATCCACTCTGCTCTATCATTCCCTTTGTTTTTGTAGGAGCTATTCACCTTTGAACAGAAACCCCAATTTTCTAAACTAGGATGAATAAAATATTTAAGCAACACCATTATGTCAATATTGAATAGGGGAAAAAAAAAAAACCACCACCATTTCCTTGTAATACTGCCTATGAGTTGTAAACAATGCAGTTATTGTATAAACAAAATGACTGATATCTTTGGACACAATTCAATGTAAACACTGATTGTACAGAAAATAATGAAAATTAGTAAGCTCATTCCTACCTTATTGTTTCTTCTATCAGTCGATCTGAGCTGAAAGCCAAAACAAAAGAAATGAAGTTAAAAAAGGGACAAGCACTAAATATTATTTTAGATTATTAAATCAAAGATCTCCATAATACAATCCTTGACAAATTTACCCTTAGAACATCTTATTTCAGGATGTTGTCACTTTTTGCTACTACACAAGATTTGGTATATCTGAGAGTCTTTGGAGAAGATGCATGTAGCGTTCTCTAGAGCAGCATTTCCTACCTGTATGCAAGAGCAGATGCTCAGAACACATAAAATACTGAGAAGACAGAAAAAGGATGGGCTCCTTGATTCACAGCTAAGTAATGTGAACTGAGCCTGATGTGTACCAGGAGCCCAGGACAGTTTGGAGTATTAGAGAAGGAAGCACCTATTTTTTTTTTTCTCTTTAATCCTGGATATTCCTGCTCATCCCCTCAAAAAAAGCAATTAAAAATGAAAGCTGAGGCTTGGTTCCAAGTAGTAACATCTCAAAACACTGCTTCAGAGCTAGTTTACCAAACACTGCTTTATGGTGGTTAAGAGGCAAGCTCTTTGTGTAGTAATACCAGTTGGATGAGAATTAAGTGATGCTTATGGGAAACAGAATACATGCTATCTGTAAGAGAAAGACCTTGATAACATGTGCCCCCTCCCCGTCGCTGCCCCACATCAATCGAGTTTCTATGTAGCATCGCTGGGAAAAGGACAGCCTAAAATACAGCACCACAGAGAGAACATTTCATTTAAAAACGGATGTGCAAGATTAAGATGACAAACAAGATCCTCAGAAGACTCGAGCAATTTCTCTTTTTCTGTACTCAACTTGTTATAGACAGGTTTTTAATCACTGTTTTACAGCCAATTATCCAAAAATCCCAGAAAAACATATCTCGTTACAGCAATCAATATCTCAAATGTAACACTGACATAGAATAGGTGACTGCATCCCCGCTTCCCGTATTGCAGAAACAATGATGCATCCCTACAATTGTGCCGTTTACCCCACAGATTTACGCAAACTCTTGTGGAATAACCGAAAAAAAAGTGAGTTTGCAGTTTAAGAAGGAAATCAATCTGACAGAAAGAAGTTTTATGTTGTACTGGATATTGCTTCCAGTATTAAAGCAGCATTTATTGCTGCCAAACTAAAAGGATTAAAATACACTGAAAGGGCATGACCATCTTTATCTTCCATCCTCCTTGTGTTTTGCCATCTCAGGAAGGGAAGGTATCAACAGCCTCCGGCACAGCACAGTCCTGCCTCTGACTCAGCCGGAGTTGCCCGATTTGGAACTTTTCTTCTACCCACAGAAATTCTGGAGATCCCCCCACACCTCCAGCTGGAGGCACGGGGAAGGAGCACGTTGTGCAGCGTGTGCGCGCGTGTGTAAACTGCTCGGAGGGGGGAGACGCTAACAGAATGTCCTTATTTGTCTGTGAAGAGGAGTGAAAACATGAAGGTTGCTATTTCAGTCTAGTCCATGGCTTGAAATATGGAGACAGCACACAGAGCACTAAAAATATTTTGCCCGATTTTAAGTTGAGAGGGACTCAACTGGGGCAGCAAACACTGAAAACACTGGAACTGGAACACTTCTTTCTGCTCCCAAAACAAAGCCACACTCCAAAGATTCACATCAGTTGCAAGTACCTCGGTTTAATCAAATAAAACCATTTGCATTCACTGTGGTATTTGTTACCGCTGGCACAGAGACGTAAAACACCCTAGTTATGTACACAAAGTGATGTAAGCAGTCCCAAGTCTCACAGCATCTGATACCGTCCCCAAGGCAAGCAGAAGAGAGAAGCGATGCATTGAAGATTTCTGTAACCGCTGATTCTCAAAGACACAAAATTCAACTGCAAATGTGCCTTTCATACATAGGTAGTCTCTAGCAGACAAGAGTATTATGTGGGCAATGCATAAGAATAAACTGCAAAAACATCAGAAAACAATCTGAAAAGCAAGAATGGTGCACAAGAATGCACCATTTTTAAAAAGTTTTGGGTTTTGTTTTTTTAATTTATTAACAACAAAAAGATACCAGGTGCCTAGCTGGAAATAAGTTACACTTACAAAAATTCTGTGGAACAAAATATTGCTAGAACAGTACCATTAAAAAAACCCTACCCTGGAAAAATCATCACCAGCATTACCATCTCTTTGTCCATTTAACTGATGATAGTATTTTCATGTTGATGAACTGAAGACGACAGAGAAGTTGAACACATTCAGAGACTGTAAGTGAACTGGGATGTTCTCCAGGGTTTTCAGAGCACAAAAAATTAGGCTTGCCCATTTGCAGCAGAGACAATAACTACTTTTTATGTTAGAGAAAGCTGTAGGTATGCAGTTTTATTATTTAATCAGAGATGTAAACACAAAAAGTATTTCAAAGCTTCAGATTCAATTATATTATACTGCATTATTTTTTATATATGTACGTATATATACATACATATAAAAATAAACCCTGGAAATGTAGCTACCTGTAAAATGATGACAGGCAGAACTTAATAAAAATGTATAAACCTAGTAATAAGCAGTTCTCAATAGCAATAAACACAGATATCAGATGCAAATGCCAACATGAGGCATTTACCAGGCATCTGAAGTCACAAGATCAATGTTTCTCAACTTATGGGGAGGTCATCCCAACTATTTAAAAGGATGAGATGCATACAAATTTTCTTTGGAATGACTGATGTATAGGTAAGGACAGACTGAAATAACTCTTATAGTCACAAATAAATAGCTGGGAAGCATAGAGATTTACTAAACACAACTTCTAGTATGTTCTTCCCACCCCAAGGAGCATCATCTTTTAATGGCCCTAAAAGGATTTCCAAAAACGTCTCTACTTTCAAGCCTCCAGCAGGTGAGCAAACTCCAGCAGAAAATGGCAATGACACTCACTGAAATTTTGGTAAAGGCAGTGTGAGCAGGAACATTTCATGGTAAAAACCTGCACATCAGAATCCCGCAGAGTTCTGTTAACTTTCGTACTTCCTGCAAAAGTTCAGTTTAAGCAGATGCTAGAGGCTTTTCTAAAGACAATAACATGCACTCATACAGCATCTTTTAAAGTCTTTCAAAGTTCTTGCAAATACAGGCTGTAATGTTCACTTACAGTGATATCCAGAAGCAAGCAGTTGTTCCATCATTTTACAGTTCATAACTATAGCAAGCAAGTTAAGGAAGATCAAGAACACAAAGTACAACGGGGCCCAGAGACCCAAGGGAAGTTTGCAGATTTCCAACTATTAATAATCTGTTTTACACAAATATAAGTTGTTCTCACAATTAGGAATAACGTTAATTTCAACTGTTTGACAAAATAAAAAGCAACAATATTGAAAGAGGTGATTTTGCTTAACTTACACTACAAGAAGAGGCTTTTAAAAAAAAAAGAAATCTCTTGACTTTGTTCTTCTGCTCTGCAAGCAAACACAACAAATCCAGTGGACATTACCTTATGAACACCCAAGCAAGCAAACGATGGATCTGGGCAATATTAATCTGATTTGCCATCTGTTTCAATAAACTATGCATTTTCACCTGTCGAGACAGACGGCACTTTGACAAAGCCATTTAAAAATACTATACGAAAGAAACGCTGAAAGATGCTGAGGCAATCACCTACTGTAATAAATGGCACAAATCCAACAGTAACAGTCATGCATATGAAATAAATCAGGCCTCTGTGCTACTGCTGTCTTGAAAAAAGACTGTGCAGTTTGTCATTTAAATATGCAGACAGGTAAATTAATCCAAAGGAAAAATTAAGTGAAATATGCCTACAGAATAGAAAAGAAGCCTGCCCATCACGTCAAGCTCTTACAACTAAAGAAAGCATTTTATGTTCTTTGTTTTTTTTAAAGCAAATCTCTGCCAGTAGCTAAAATTCAGTAATATAGATGATTACTGAGGTGAGGACTGGGCTTCCCCCATATCCTTAGATTTTGCTGCTGACTTACTAGCTAGATACCCAACACAAGCACTTGTCAGAGAAACAAGATACAGCAGTAAGACTCATCTGCACACAACTCATTTCACAATGTACTTTAAACCCTTCAGAAAAATTAAGGGCAATATTATCACGAAGAATAATTTAAAAGGATTAGGGAAAAACCCCTGTAGAATAAACTAATATAGTTCTTGATAATTATTTTCTTACTTTCATAAAGAATAATTACAGAAACAATAATTTTACTTTGTTCTTTCTCTAACTGCAAGATTAATCACTAGTCTCAGCTCTCTCAAACTGCCTGCACTAAATCTTTCATATTTTCAGTGTCCCGGATCACCAGGCAACACTGAGCTTCCAGGAATGGTAATACTGCAAAACATGCTTGATATTCTAATACAAATACACAGATTATGATGAAGCAAATCAGACTTATACAGCCAGTTATTTCCATCATCATAACCGTTCCTAACTCACAAATGAAAGAAAATTGTGCACACGAACACAAAAAACCCAGCTCCAACACATCTTTTCTGCTTGCCATCAAGATAACTTATCATCTTAAAACATCCTGAAGATGATTAAGCTCTTTAAAAACTTAACTAGAAAAACGTAAACCAGAACAGATTTTTTTCCTGTGATAACAAACAAGATATTCCAGATTTTATAAGACTCGTCTCATGCTTGATTCAACGCAGTGTGTCAAAGAAAGACTGAATTGCACTGGAGCTGCGCGTAGTGCTTGGACAGTCTCCCACAGCTGCTAATGAAGAGAAAAATTGGTGTAGAAGCCTACTCATTGACTGAGACCCAACGCAAGAGCACGGCGAGACAAACACACCTAGGGTACACGACACCCAAAGAGAGAAAATTTCTAACAGAGGACTGTGCAAACAACACAAAATTCGCTCCTGTGTTTTTATGGAAGAGCAGAAGTAGCACCTGCTATGAATGCACAGCATGCAACAGCACAGGGAGGAAAAGGAGTATATTTGACTACAAAGCATACATCTTATATTTCCAGCATGAGAAGAGCTAGCTGGCCAAAAA